AATATAAAAATATAGCGGTTCTAGAAGAGAAGATAGAGTGGTAGAAAGAATATTAAAAAAAAAAAAAAAAAAGATGGCTAACACTTCCCAAATTTGATGAGAAACATTCACCTACATGTTCAAGAATCTCAACAAACTCCAACTAGGAGAAACTAAGAAAGATCCACATCATAATTAAACTGTTAAGAGGCAAAGACAAAGAGAATGTCTTCAGAGTATTAAGAGAGAAGTGACTCACCATGTCTAAGAGATCCTTAATAAGATTGTCAGCTTTTCATCAGAAACCATGGAATCAGAAGACAGTGAGTGGAATGGTATAGTCAGAGTGCTGATAGACCAAGAATTCTATATCCAACAAAACTATCTTTTAAAAATGACAGAGACATTAAGACATTCCCAGAAAGTCAAAAACAGAGGCCATTTGTCAGGTATTTCAGCCTGAAGGACTGACACTTCTTTAGTACTTCTCTACCAGAAATACTAACGAACATTCAACTTTTATACAAGAAATATTAATGAACATTCAGTCCTTCAGGCTGAAATGATAGGATAATAGGAAGTAACTCAAATCCATTTAAAGAAATAAAGGTAACCACATAGATAAATACAAAGGGAAAAACAAATATAAAAGGAAAAATAAAATTTTTTGGTAACTGTTTTTCCTCCTATATGTTTTAAAGGACATCTATATGAAGCAAAAATTATAAATCTATGTTGATGGTCATAGAATGTATAAAGATGTAATCTATTTGACAAAAATAGTGCAGAAGTTGGGGAGGGAATGAAGCTATATTGGAGAAAGGTTTATATATACAATTGAGATGAAGATAATATTAATCCAATCTAGGTTGTTATAAATTAATATGTTAATTATAATCTCCAGGGCAACCAACCACTAAGAAAATAACTAAAATATATATAAAGAAAGAAATGACAAAAGAATACTAGAAAATATCTATTTAGTACAAAAGAAGGTAATAATGGAGGAATAGAAGAAGCCAGAAAGAAGAGACACATTTACAAACACACATCAAAATAGGGGACATAAAACCTACCTTATCAGCAATTACATGAAATTACTCTACCTAATCAAAATGTAAAACTTTTCTGTTTCATTGGACACCATCAAGAAAGGGCAAGACAACTCAGAATGAAAGAAAAGTTCAAATTATATATCTGATAAGGGACTTGTACCTAGAATATATAAAGAGCATCCACAGTTCAACAATAACTAAATAACCCAATTAAAACATTGTGCAAAGAATCTGAATATACATATCTCCAAAGAAGATGTACAAATGACAATAAGCACATAAAAAGATGCCCAACGTCATTAGCAGGGAGGGAAGTGCAGATTAAACCAACGATAAATACATTTTTTGTTTTTGTTCTTTGTAAGAGATGGGGTCTCACCATGGCACCCAGACTGGAGTGCAGTGGCAACTCACAGGTACATTCAAGACACACTGTAGCCTCAAACTCCTGGGCCCAAGTGATGCTCCTACCTCAGCCTCCCAAGTATCCGGGACTACAGGCATGCACCACTGCACCCAGCTTAAAGCAATGAGACAGTACTTCAGACCCACTAGCATGGCTATGATAAAAATGATGGACAATAATAAAGGTTCGTGAGGATGTAGAGAAACCGGGACATGCCTTCACTGATGGTAGGAATGTAAAATGGTGCAGCTGCTTTGAAAGATTCTGGCAGTTCCTCATCAAGTCAGACATACAGTTAACACATGAACCAGCAATTCCATTCATAGGTATAAGACCCCCAGAATTGAAAAATCTATGTTCACACAAAAACTTGCACAGAAATGTTCACAGCAGCTTTATTCATAATAGCCAAAAAGTGGAAAGAATCCAAATGTCCATTGACTGATGAATAGATAAACAAAACATGATATATCCATATAACGAAATATTAGCCTTAAAAAGGGATGAACTACTGACGCATACAAAACATGGATGAACCTTGAAAACATTTGTTAAATGAAAGAAGCCAGACACAAAGAGTCACATATTGTACGATTCCATATATATGAAATGCCTGGAAAAGACATATTCCTAGAGACAGAAAGAAGATTAGTGGCCGGGCGCGGTGGCTCAAGCCTGTAATCCCAGCACTTTGGGAGGCCGAGGCGGGTGGATCATGAGGTCAAGAGATCGAGACCATCCTGGTCAACATGGTGAAACCCCGTCTCTACTAAAACTACAAAACATTAGCTGGGCATGGTGGCGTGTGCCTGTAATCCCAGCGACTCAGGAGGCTGGGGCAGGAGAATTGCCTGAACCCAGGAGGCGGAGGTTGCGGTGAGCCAAGATCGCGCCATTGCACTCCAGCCTGGGTAACAAGAGTGAAACTCCGTCTCAAAAAAAAGATTAGTGGTTGCCAGGGGTTTGGAGAAGGGGCAGTGCAGAATGGTTCTAATGGTTACAGAATTTCTTTTTAGAGTAATAAAAATGTTCTGGAAATTGATAGTGGTGACCGTTGAACCACTCTGTGGATATATGAAAAACCACTGCATTGCAGTTTAAGGGGTAAATATTATAGTGTGTGAATTATATCTTAGTTTAAAAATGAGGTGGAGTTGTGACTAGACCTCTAATGTGCAAGGGACCCCCTCCCATGTCCTACCTCTGTCACCTGGACATGTCTAAGCGGCCCTCCTGCCATCGCCTCGACCCCTCTTGGTCCCTGTATTAGTCAGAGTTCTTCAGAGAAATAGAGCCAATAGGATATCAACATCAATGTTGGTATTGACACCAATATCTATATTGACAAAAAAATTGATATAGATATATAGAGAGATCTAGACACATAGAAAGAATGGCTGTCCACCCCGCAAGCTCCTTCCTGTACCCTTTGGGAGCTCTATTAATAGTATTATTTTGAGATGGAGTCTCACTCTGTTGTCAGGCTGGAGTGCAGTGGCACGATCTCAGCTCACTGCAATCTCCGCCTCCTGGGTTCAGGTGATTCTCCTGCCTCAGCCTCCTGAGTAGCTGGGACTGCAGGTGTGCGCCACCATGCCCAGCTAATTTTTTTTTTTTTTTTAGTAGGGTCGGTGTTTCACCATGTTGACAAGAATGGCCTTGATCTCTTGACTTTGTGATCTGCCCGCCTCGGACTCCCAAGTGCTGGGATTATAGGCGTGAGCCACCACGCCTGGCCGGGAGCTCTGTTGTTTATACTCCCAGTAACTAGCTAGGATTTCATGACTAGAATTATCACTCCTATTTCCTTCTTGTTGTGAGGTTAATGAAAGGATACGTACTGAGCCTGGAACCTGGCCCGTCCAGGGACTGTGGGTGTCCTGGGGAGGGTGACTGGCTGACAGCTCCTGAGATGGAGAAGATGAGAATCTACAGTCCTGTGAACAGAGCATGACCCCTGAGAACTCAACTTCTGTGCATTGACTAGCATATGCCCAGGTCTTCTAGAGACTAGAGTTAAAGATCTCATATTACAATTCTGCTCAAAAAACCTTCATCGACTTCCCATTAAATCCTAAATAAGAGCCTAAGTTTAGTCTAATGTGCCCTTTTCTAGAATATGATCCCGGTCTACCTGCCTGGTCTCCTAAGCCATGTCCCTTCAGTTCCTGTCATCCTTCTGCAGGACACTTGACCAGATATTCCAGAGACCCTGATGTCTCCCTCATGCCTTGAACGTGCCATTAGGCACAATGCCATGGAGAAACTGGACTTGGGATACAGGGAGACCTGGTCAGCAAGTCCAGCTCTGCCGAAGACTAGCTCGGTAACCTCAGGCAAGTCACTCTACCTTCCGCTTGTTTTCCTCATTTGTCAAAATGAGGGATGAGTCTATCTGTCTCAGTCAGTGGGCATGAGGCTGAAGCGACACAGAGTATCTGAAGGGTCTTAGAGAACCAGTTTGGCATAGTCTAGCATCGCCTTCCTAGGGGAAGAGGCCCCCTCTCCATTCCCACCCTTTGGTTCTGTGGGCTGCTGGTCATTGCCTCTTGTACATCTCTAGACACACAGGTGAGAACGTGGATCTCTTTGGGAACTGTCAAACTGGAGTTAAAGAAGGATTGCCTCTTTAGGATGGAAGAGCCTGGAAGATGTGCAGTGGGGAGTCAGTGGTGCCATTTGGCCCTGAAAGCCAGTGTATGAGCATGGAGAGAGCTGCGGTGGCATTTAATTTTGGGTTCTGGTTCTTTCTGCAGCCAGCTGCAGCCCTTTCGACATGCAGCAAACTCACCCATCAATTACCCTTTGACCCAAGCTGGATTAAGACAGGGTTCTGAGCCTTGCATGAAGTCACCTGATTAATTCAGAAGTCAGGGATTGGGGGACCCTTCCCCGACCCCTCATTGCTCCAGGGTTGTGTTCTTATTATACTCTTCCCTTTCCCATGAGATCTGAGGCTCTGTGTAGGCAGGAAAATAGTCCTTAGACTTGCTATTCCCTGTGAGCCAGCCTGAGGTTCAGTCAGTGTTAGGGCTTAACCCTCGCAGCTCAGGCAACATCAGCAGGGCAGTGAGAGCCTTTGCTCAGGGAGCGGAGGCACTTAGAAAACTTCCAGATGGGCGCCAGGACTTCTGCCAGCTTCCAAGGGAGAACTAAGTTTGGACTTCCATGAATCTCAATGGCGAAACCGCCTTCATTTCCACTCAGACCCACCAAATCCAAGGTTCTGGAATCGAGGCCTGAGAATCTGCATGTTTTTCAAGCATCCAGGTGATTCTCATGTGGCCTAAACTTGAGAATCTCTGGGCTGAGTCTTTGATGATGCCCTGAGTTCATCATTTTACTTCTTCAGATTCCTGAGTAGAGCAGTGTGGGGAAAGTTAGACCCAAACAAGGCAGTGAGCTAGTTTCTTATGCTAATGGTCACACAGATCTCATAATTGCATGGAGGACACAAGTGTCTCATAATTAGCGTCTGCTGTTCTGTTCCTGGGGGGCAATTGTTCCGCAACAATGCCCAGGCTCCGTGCTGGACCACCAGCCTCCCTCCCTCCAGCACATTCCAATCCCCTGAAAGAAGAGCCCCGAGTTCTCAGGACTTTAACCCTTTCCTGCCAGGACCCTCAGGGCCAGTGCTGAGGTGGGGGACGTTCATGATCAGATGCTGGGCCTCCAGAGGGCAGTGGGAGAGGAAAACAAGGAATGACTATTTGGGGCGGCGAGCACTTTGCATTTAAGGCTGTGTTTCTCACTCAGACCTAATGAAGCACAACTCACAGGGTTGAGGTGCAGGAACCCCCCTGGGAATTCTGATTTTACTAGGATCTGAGGCTCGCTGGCCATATCTCTACCTCTTTCAGGCTGACAAGTTGCCTAAAAGGACAGGAGGACTTACTCCAGTCCTGCATCTGCCACTTGAACTATCACAACAGGCTTCTGCCTTCTCAGTGGGATTACGAGTGACACAGCAGAGTAGGCAGCAGGATGTGGTGACAAAAACACACCTCTGGCCCTAAAGCTTGTGTTACCTCCTGGCTGCCATTCACTAGCTATGTGAGTTTAGGAAAGTCGTTTCACCTCTGAGCCGCAGATTCCTCATCTGTAAAATGAAGACAAGAACACCTCTCCCTAATATTAGGGTATTTAGATTCTTTCTACTTTTTTACTTTCTTTTACCATATTCTTGGCATTTTGTGTTTAACTTCAAGGTTCTGACCAATGAATGATCCCAGGAGTGTTCATGAAAACCCCTGGGGGAAGCTTTTACAAAATAAAGATCGAAGTCTGTGAGCTGGAATTCCTAATTCATAAATTCATACTCAGGAATGGAGTATTTGGATAAAGTTCTTCAGGTCTTCCTAATGCACACTTTTATTTTTTAAATGTTTTATGATTTATTTTTTTTTACAGACAGGGCCTTATTCTGTTGCCCAGACTAGAATGCAATGGTGCAATCACAGCTCACTGCAGCCTCAGCCTCCAGAGCTCAAGTCATCCTCCTGTATCAGCCTCCCAAGTAACTAGGTCTACGGGCATGTGCCACCATGCCCAGCTAATTTTTAAAACATTTTTGGTAGAGAATGGGTGATATAGTTTGGCTATGTCCCTGCCTAAATCTCAGCTTGAATTGTATTTCCCAGAATTCCTATGTGTTATGGGAGGGACCCGGGAGGAGGTAATTGAATCATGACGGCTGGTCTTTCCTGTGCTGTTCTCGTGATAGTGAATAAGTCTCATGAGATCTGATGGGTTTATCAGGGGTTTCCACTTTTGCTTCTTCCTCATTTTTCTCTTGCTGCCACTATGTAAGATAAGTATGAATCACCTCCTGCCATGATTCTGAGGTCTCCCCAGCCACGTGGAACTGTAAGTTCAATTAAACCTCTTTTTGTTCCCAGTTTTGAGTATGTCAGCAGCATGAAAACAAACAAATACACTGGTTTTGGTATGTTGCCCAGGCTGGTCTCGAAATGTCCTCAACTGATCCTCCTGCCTTGGCCTCCCAAACTGCTGGAATTACAGATGTGAGCCACCACGCCTGGCCCCCTAATGCATACTTTTATTCAAACTCATCTGTGAGAGGCCTGGAGGGACTTTGACATGATAAAAAAAAAAAAAAAAAAAAAAAAAAAAGGGTGTGATTTTGTTTTGCAGAAGCATTGATTTAAATTGTGCACACTGATATCTTAGGGCAAGTAAGTTAGCAGGGAGTGAGCCTAGAGAAGTACCCAGCATCGACCTGCCTATCTCCTTTCTAAGATTTCCAAAGGGCTAAACACTTTACTTATTATCTTATTTAATCCTAAATTTGTATTATTGCTCTGGGCTACTCCCAGGCCCCCTGACCATATGTCCAGCTACCTGCCTGATCTCGCCACTTGGATGGGAATAAATATTTCCAGTGCTGCTGGTCCCCATGGAAATTCCGATTCCCCCTAAACCTGCTCATCCTCAACTTCAATGGCAACTTACTTAACGGCAATTAAATTCTTATGATTTCTCAGGCATTTTGAATATGTCCTTAAATGTTCCCTTTCTCTCACATCCTACATCCTATTCTTGAGCAAATTCCACTGACTCTACCCTTGGAAAACATCCAGAATCCAAAAAGTTCTCATCATGCCCACGGCGAAGTCTCTGTCCTAAGGCACTTTCACCTCTCTCCTGATCAGTGCCATCATATTAAGGCAATGTCTCTGATTCTACCCTTGACCTGCCATGTTCAAATGTCACCTTGGCAAGAGTCCTTCCATGAATACTCCACCTCAAGTGCCCTCCACCCCAAACCCCCGGACCCATTCCATTTCCATGCTTTATTTTTCTCTGTAGCACTGACTACCGGTTCTTATACGTTTGCTTGTTTTGTTGTTATCTGTCTTCTTTTAGAATGTGAGTTCAATCTAAATACCCGACTAAGTGCCTAAACTTCAGATTGCTGGGAAGTGATATAAATACCTTAACTCATGTAAGGCATGGACTTTTGTCTGTTTCGTTAGCACTGGGACCCCCGTGTTTAAAACGGTGCCAAGTGTATGGTAGACCCTCACTGTTACACATCTATCATCTATCCGTCTCTCTCTCTTTCTCTCTCAATCAATCTAACTATCTGCCTGCCTACCCACTTACCTATCATCTCTCTCTCTCTATCTACCTATCTGTCCATCTATTGAATGAATACTCACAACATCTAGGTATTATTTTCTTCATTTTACAGACAAGGGAGTGGAGGTCCAGAAGATATTTTTTCCAAGGCCGCAGTGTGAGTAAACAGAAAAGCTGAGAGCTGGGTGTGAAACCCAGGACTGACCCACTGCAGAGATCATTTTCCCACACATAGAGGAAGAGCCACTTTTTATAATCTAACTACAATTTCCTTCTAAATGTAGCTCTTGCATTTCAAATTGAAACTTGAGACTGTGATTCTCATAAATCAACATGGAGGCTCAACTTTAAGACAAGAGGCCTTTTAAATTTTAAATTATTTTTTATTTTATTTTTTTAATTAATTAACTCTTTTTTGAGATGGAGTCTTGCTCTGTCTCCAGGCTGGAGTGCAGTGGCATGATCTTGGCTCATTGCAAACTCTGCTTCCCTGGTTCAAGTGATTCTGCTGCCTCAGCCTCCCAAGTAGCTGGGACTACAGGCACGCACCACCACGCCCAGCTAATTTTTGTATTTTTAGAAAAGACAGGATTTCACCATGTTGGCCAGGATGGTCTCAATCTCTTGACCTCATGATCTGCCCGCCTTGGTATCCCAAAGTGCTGGGATTACAGGTGTGAGCCACCACGCCTGGCCTTTTTATTTTATTTTCTGGGACAGTGTCTTACTCTCTCACCCAGGCTACAGTGCAGTGGTGCAATTACAACTTACTGCAACCTCCACCTCCTGGGTTCAAGTGATTCTCCCACCTCCACCTCCAGAGTAGCTGGAATTACAGATGTGTGCCACCACGCCTAGCTAATTTTTGTATTTTTAGTAGAGATGGGGTTTCACCATGTTGGCTAGGCTGGTCTCAAACTCCTGACTTCAAGTGATCTGCTCACCTCAGCTTCTCAAAGAAGTGTTGGGATTACAGGCTTGAGCCACCGTGCCCAGCCTAAACAAGAGGCCTTCATATCCCAGTCTCCTGAATCTCTCTGAGCTATGCCATGCCAACTCTGCAGGAATCCAGACAACTCTAGTCAGTGTGGACCTGAAAAGGAACTGGATCCTCCATGGCTTTCTTGCTTATTGTTTCCACTTGTAAGGAATCCTAAGGAGAAAAATGGAAGACTCATTCGCACAAAGATATTTATCTCTGAATTGCGATTTATTCAGTAGAAATCTTGAGAATTACAAATCTGAGCTCTGGAGCCCAATGCTAAGAGGTCTGGGAGAAGAGGCCGGTGCTGTGGCTCACACCTGTAATCCCAGCACTTTGGGAGGCCAAGGTGGGTGGATCACCTGAAGTCAGGAGTTCGAGATCACCTTGGCCAACATGGTGAAACTCCCCTCTCTACTAAAAATACAAAATAAATTAGCTGGGCATGGAGGCCCATGCCTGTAATCCTAGGCTGAGGCAGGAGAATTGCTTGAACCCGGGGGGCAGAAGTTGCAGTGAGCCAAGATGGCACCACTGCACTCCAGGCTGGGTGACAGAGTGAGACTCCATCTCAAAACAAAATAAGAGGTCTGGGAGAAGAGAAAGAACCAGTAAAAGACTCCAGAAAGGAGCGACCTGGCAGGTAGGAGGATACCAGGAACGTGCGGTGTCCTGGAAGGCAAATAAAAACATGCCTCGAGGAAGACTCCTAGAAATAAGATCAGAAATTGGTCTACTAGGAAAAAACAATGAACCTCCACTGAAGGATATGAAATAGGACTTCAGTAAATGGAGACACATCTTTGATAGGAAGTTTTAGTCTAAAAACACAGGAAGTTTTTCAGGAAGAATGCCTGCTCTTCATAGATGAGTCTTTAACTCAATGTAATTCCAGTGAAAACACCCTACTCAAACTGATGGGAACTTAACAAAGTTATTATAATTCTGGGACAATTGGTCTAAAAGAATAGACCTGAATTTCCTGAAAAGGAAGCATTAGAAATGGAATTTGCCCTACCTGTTTACCAAAACATATTATAAAGGGAAATTGATGGAAACCAGCTCAGAAGATAGAAGAGGGAAGGCTGTGCGCAGCAGTAGGGAGGGGAGGCGAGGAGGAGAAAAAGCAGAGATGGGAGTGTGGCAGAGGTGGGACGGCTGAGGTGGGGGGTGTCCCTCCAGGCCCCAGAGCTGCCACTTTATCCCTCCCACTCATCCAATTTGCAGTGAGCTCCCTTTACTACATGGAAAATATCCTCCTGAACTTGTTTGCAGGAAACAACACAAGGCGTGAATGCCCACTTTGAGATGTTAATTACTTATTTGGTTCATTTATTCAAAAAATAATGTATTGATTATTTACTCTGAGTCACACTGTGCTAGGCACTGGGGATGCTTGGAATACTCACCACACCCGTGCGTTTATAAATTTTAAGACAATGTGAGAATGCTTAGATTTAAAATGGAAAACCACAAATGACAGGTTTCTCTGCCAACTCTACTCAACTGCCTTTCACCAAGGTCAGGGAACTCCAGGGTGTGGCTTTCCTCCTAAATTTACTGAGCCTGCCATGGGCCAGGCAGCACGCTAGGCTCTCGGGTTAGAGTGCCGACTATCCTCATGTGTTTATTAATTTAAAATGAGGCCCAAACATGGGGTCACACGGTGTCCAAAATGAAGTAACCTTTGGACCGACACAGCTTGTTTCAAAGCAGCTGAGATCCGTTGCCTTTTTGGCATTTGATCTGCGGTGCTGGGCCAAAGAAGCCGGGAGGTGTGTAGGGGAGGGGATCATAAATGCAGCTATTTAATCCACTGTCACTTGGTAAGAGCCCCATTGAATTTTTGATGGGAAAAATGTTTTTGTCTGGGTTGAGCTTCAGGACAAAAGAAATACAAGAACACAGAGCAGAATTGATAGTGTTTAAAAATATGTTGAAAGATCTTATACTTTGTAACAAACTCGGCCAGCTATAATGGAAGAACTCCTGACACAGCAGAGGCCTGGCCAAGCCCCTTCCCTGGGGGCCCCCAAGCTGTCAGTTGAAAGTAATCATCCTGCCTGATGACCATGTGCCACTCTCTCGATGTTTGGGAACAAAATTGTGATGTGACAGACTGTACACTGTTTGTCCAGAATAACACACAAATGTGTTCTGGAGAATCCGTTTAGACTTAGGGTATCTGGTACAGTACAGGACCAGGAAACAGA